AGTTTTCGAGAAAATCAATGAAATGTGAAAACACTACTTTTTCGATTTGCATAGAAATAAGGAGACTGCAATTTTCAAAGAAGTCGCATTAGAATCTAAGCCTTAATTTTTGTTTTATTCAAACACAGTATTTGTTCTCAGTTTTTCAGAATGTTTATTCGTTTCCTTTAGCTTATACAATCAGTTAATTATTATGTGTTATTTTAATAAATGTTACGTTTCTTATAAATTATACATTAATCCATTACACCTCAAATCGATCACAATGAACTTTTCGAATCGAGTTTGAAGTGCATTTGGTTTTCTACATTACCTGCAAACATAATGACGAAGGTGGGAATAATAAGTAAACGAAACGAGTCGTTTAAAAACTCATATAATGAGAAGCGCGACGCCGGTAAGTACCGTTACAGGAGCATTCTTGAATTCTCGTTCATTCTTTAAATGTAAATTTCAGTGTGTGTCTCGACGAATTTTTCGAAATGAAGCCAAAGAAAACTGATGAATCCAAGTCAGCTGTCAATGAGGTATTGAATAAATTAATAATTAATTAACATTTTGCAAATGTTTAGAAATAATTTCAGGAAGTTGCGCAGATCCAAACCGGCGGCTTTCTATCCTACATAAATTCCTGCGATAAATTGAACATAATTTCGGTTCTAATTGTAGTCGTCTCGATAAGCGTGATATCTTACATCGGAGTAGACGAATGCAAGAAGTGTTTTATCAACCAGAATCGGTTAAAAGCACAAACGAAGTTAAATTTGAAAAAATATTCGGTTTACGGCAGGAATAGCCAGGACGGTCATTTGAGACACGTATTTGCGGTTCTGGATAGGATAGGATTCGAGCAGACAGATGTTTCTGGTGATTGGGATCTGTTGTGGGCGCACGATTATCCTTTTCGTGTGCATTATGATATCTTGAAGAATCTTAAATTTCACCAAAAAGTCAACCATTTTCCAGGCTGCGGTTATTTGACTAACAAAGTTGATTTAGCTACGAGCGGCTTGAGGTACATTCCTCCGGCATTCAAATTGCCAGCACAAAAGGATTCGTTGCTTAAATTCTCCTCTGAGAATCCAGAGAAAAAGTTCGTTATTAAAAACAACGATCATAGGAACGTTCGTGTTAAAGATCTATCCGAAATCGATCTGAATGCAAATGATAGCTTCGTGCAAGAGTTCATAGACAATCCGTTGCTGGTGAGCGGATATTGGTTTGATATTGGTATTTACACCATTATCACTTCGGTGGATCCATTAAGAATATACATGTATAACGGCGATGCGCTTCTCAGATTTTGCCCGGAAAAGTATCGACCTTTCGATAGGAATAACTTGGACAAGTACGTCGTCGGAGATGATTATCTTCCAACTTGGGAAGTACCAGGTCTTCAATATTACTACAACGAATTAGGATTCGGGATGCGCGATAGTTTGAACGCGTATTTATTAGCCGAAGGAAAGGATCCTTCGGTGATTTGGAGTCAAATCGAAGACGCCATTCGCATTGCAGTTTTAGCCAAAGAACCTTTAATCAACGACGTCGTCAAAAGGTAAATATTACTCGCAAAAGCATACACAACATCCCTAAACAAACATACTTTACAGATTTAAATCTAAAGATAACTTTTTCGAAATGATGCGAATTGATTTTGTCGTGGACCAAAATCTGAAGGTCTCCCTAATGGAGGCGAACATGAGTCCGAATTTATCTTCAGCCCATTTCAAACCAAACCAATTGCTTTACGAACAAGTCATCTTCAATTTGTTCGGTTTAATTGGTATTGGGCAACGTTTGCATAAATCCACATTGGCTTCAAGGTAACAATTTAAAAATAGAATTTCTTTCTAGTTATTTCCACTTATTACTTATCATAATATTTCTTTTATTTTTTTTTCACAAGGTCTCAAGAAGAGGAACTAATGCAATCAGCAGAAAAAAATATTGCTGTTATGGGCGGCGAATGCAAGAGCGATAAATGTAAAGAATGCTTATCAGAGGAATGCAAATTATGTAAACCTTGTATGTCTGCTGACATTCATGAACAACTTCTGTTAGCCCACAAGGAACATTTAAATCGTGGCGATTGCAAACGGATATTTCCACCGCCTATGGTAATAATTAATAATAGTAACGATTTGGGTTCAATAAATAATGTTTAAAAATTCAAGGTACCTGGAGAGGATTTACCTGAAGATTATGATGACTATTCAGCAAATAATAAAATTATTACCAGATGGTTCTATGAGAAATGCGCGATGGACTCGACTTGGTGCAATTAATTTATTTTTTTTTGTAATTTACAAATTGTTTTCTAATTTCCTGTTTATATTAGTTTTGATCTTATGTAATAATAATAATAATATCATATGTATTTGTTTGAACGGATAAATCCACAGTAATATATGAATACTTGAAAGATTCCCCAAACATTCAGCTTTCATATGCATCTTTTGGATTCATTCTATGTATTATAGTTTTCGAGAAAATCAATGAAATGTGAAAACACTGCTTTTACGAGCAATTTTTAAACTTTGAACGCGAATTACAGCCAAACGGATAAATCCACAGTAATATATGAATACTTTCAACATTCCCCAAACATTCAGCTTTAATATGCATCTTTTGGATTCATTCTATGTATTATAGTTTTCTAGTAAATCAATGAAATGTGAAAACACTACTTTTTCGAGCTTTTTCGAGTATTTTTTAAACTTTGAACGCGAATTACAGCCAAACGTATAAATCCACAGTAATATATGAATACTTGCTAGATTCCCCAAACATTCAACTTTAATATGCATTTTTTGGATTCATTCTATGTATTAC